CCAGACAGCGACACGAGCAAGGGGCAGACAGCTGACCTGACGCGGACGCAGACGCAGACGCAGGGACCTGAGGGGACTCAGTGGTTAGTGTGTACAGGTTCGACCCCGGCTGCCGAGTGAAGGTAGCCAAGTGGCGGCCTGTACGAGCACACGCGCAGTATGTCACGCGCTCGTAGGCAGGGGTGAACTGGTGAACAGCCCCGTCCTGGAGTGCACTACCTGCCACCAAGTTCGTAGAGAACGAGGGGAGGTGGAGACCTGACAGTGTGCCCGACGGGACCGTAGGACAGGGAAGGACAGTGGAGGAGGTCGCAATGACCGGACCCCCAGAGGGGTCAGCGAGGGAGACAGCAACTGGCCGAGCAAGCGGCTCAAGGGCAGTGCGGTCACGAAAGAAGCAGCGAGAAGCACCTGAGTACAGTGTGAAGGTGTGCAGTGCTGCCGTCGACTCAGTATCAGGGGTGGCAGACGCACAAGCACCTAGAGAAGCTGCCTCACCAGCACCTGGGGTAGCAGACACGCGAGTACCTGGAGCGGCAGACGCACTAGTCCTAATGCCCGGGTCGGGCGGCACACACAGGTACTCAGCACCCTCTCCACTAGTAGACATCACATACATAGCAGTGCGAATAGCATCAAAGTCTGGAGCATAGATATCAATCCCCTTCTTCATGAGATCAACCCAGCGGGGCAGCTCATTGGCCTGAGGGAACTGAACACGCCAAGCGTCGTTGAGAGGAGCGAAGCAGCGCTGTGTGGCGTGCGGTCCCCCACACGGCTGACTAATGCGGTCACCAGTGCGAATGACGTACGTGCAGTTAAAGCCACCCCCCCCCCCCCCGTGCTGAGAGTACCGCTCACGGACCTCCTGGGGCGAGGGAGTGTGCTGCTGGCTCTGGCCACCGCCAGTGCCTCCCGACCACCACCGCTTGCCACCTCCTCGACCACCCCAACCCCTGCCGCCGCGGCGTCCACCACCACCCCCACTACCGCCTCCGCCCCTGCCACCTCCCCCGCCGCTGCCGCCACCACCCCCACCGCTGCCACTAGCCCATCCAGTCGCGCCACCACCCCCACCGCCGCCACCGCCCCCACCACCGCCTCCCCCGCTGTCACCGCCACCGCCCTTGCCCCCTTTGCCCTTGCCGCTGCGGCGCCCGCTCGAAGCAGACGCATTCTCGACCTTCTCAGCACCAAGGAGGTCGACAGCACCAGCAGAGGCGACGGAGGGAAGAAGGGGGGAAGGAGAACACCCCTCAAAGAACGGGGTACGGGGGTCGCCACGAGAGGCACCTACAGCGACTATGCTAGCCTCAGCTGCAAGCAGTTCCTTCTCGAGGAGGGCAATGGTGAGCTCAGTGGGGCAGCGAGCTAGGAAGTGGTCCCTGACTGAGCGCAGAGTGTCAGGGAGGCGGGTGACTAGGTGGTAGAGAGTGAGCCAGAGTGGGGGTGGGTTCTTGGCAAGGAACTCATCAGGCATGGAGGCGCGGAAGCGAGCCTCACTAGTGCGGAGGTGCGTAATGAGATCAGCGACTGTGTGGAAAGAGGCTAAGTCGGGGAACAGGTAGGGAAGAGAGAGACGGCCTAGTGCGGTAGAGGCCGGTGAGGAGTAGCGGGCAACGACAGCAGTGTACAGTGCCTGTGCAGTCTTGTGCTGCCCAAAGTGCTCGCGCTCATCTATCGGCAGGGAGTTGCGAATAGCGAAGCGAGCGTGGGCGTCACGAGTCTGCCACTGTGAGCGGGCAGTGCTGACAGCAGTAGCAGCAGGAGCAGGAGCATGGCCTAGGGCGTGATCGTACAGTGAGATGTCCTCCTTGGCAGTGAGCTGTAGGAAGAGGTGAAGGTCATCTAGCCAGGTTTCGAACTTCACTGTGCGGCCCTCAGCATCGAAAGCCAGTACAGGAGGGCTAGCCATAGCAGTAGTAGGAGTAATAGCAGAAGGGGCACCCCAAAATCAGTAGACAGTACGACTCAGGTAGGGCGGCTCGGTCAAGTACGGGCGGCGCGGCTCGGTTCAGGTAGGGCGGCGGGGCTCGGGAAGGGCGGCGCGGCTAGGTTTGGGCGGCGCGGCTCGGTTTGGGCTGGGCTGCTCTGTTCGGGCGGCTCGATTCGGGCGGCTCGGTTCGGGCGGCTCGGTTCGGGCGGCTCGGTTCGGGTTGGGTGGCTCGGTTCGGGCTGCTCGGGTCGGGCGACTCGTTCTGGGGGGGGGGGCGTTCGGGGCCTCTAGGGGCAAGCGCGGGGCCGTAAGGGGCCGCTAAGGGCGAGCGCGGGGCCGATCGGGGCCTCTAGGGGCGAGCGCGGGGCCGTAAGGGGCCGCTAAGGGCGAGCGCGGGGCCGTTCGGGGCCTCTAGGGGCGAGCGCGGGGCCGTAAGGGGCCGCTCAGGGCGAGCGCGGGGCCGTTCGGGGCCTCTAGGGGCGAGCGCGGGGCCGTAAGGGGCCGCTAAGGGCGAGCGCGGGGCCGACGGGGGCCTCTAGGGAGGTGAGCGCGGGGCCGACGGTGTGAGAGTATGACGGCTTATGCTAGCTATGCTTCCTTGCCTTTACTTTATCATGCTATCTCTAGCATAGGATAATTATATGCATGCATGAATTGCTTGATTTCCTAGGCTAGGTGCTTTCCTATATTTTATTATAGTTATAGCACCGAGCTAGGTTGCGTGCACCGAATTCTGGCTTTTCGGTTGCCACCGAATTGCCTTCTACCGAATTCGGTAAGGATCCGTTCGGAACGCTACGCGGCCCGCGGAACCTTCGCGTAACACCTGGTTACGGGGCCTTGTGTCGAGCCTATATATAGCCTTGTGTTGTACCCAGGTGAACACATTTAATTCAATTTGAATCATCTTTTCTGAGCTCGATCCCAGATCCTCACAGACGAGGCCGTTAGGGGCGAGCGCGGGGTCGTAAGGGGCGAGCGCGTGGGCCGACGGAGCCTTAAGGGGCGGCGCGCGAGTCGCTAAGGGGCGGGTCGCGGGGCCTTAGAGGGCCGTGAAAACCGAGGCGCCCTAGGGCGCAGGTAGGTAGGTAGGTAGGTAGGTAGGTAGTGGTGGGCCCTAAAAAAATCGGTCCTAGGAAGTACCTGCTCTATACCATGTTGAAATGAATGAACAGGGAATGATGAACTAACAGTGAAATCAGTACAAGAACCTAACCCTAGAATTGTGTACCCCCTATAGGCTAACCCACTGTAGCCTAAACAAGCACAACATATACAATGTTTGACAACAGTAGCACCTCCAGCTCCAGTAGCACGGCTCCAGCACTGGGCAAACCACTCGCGCAGCTCCTGCGGAGAGGGTAGCTCCCGCCTCGACGAAGCACCCGAAGGGCCCCCAAACCCAGCACCGCTAGAAGCCACACGAGCAGACCCAGCACCCCCAGGCTCCGCACCCCCAGGCTCAGCACCACCAGGCTCAGTATCCCCAGGCTCAGCACCCCCACGCTCCGCACCCCCACGCTCCGAGGGTCTACAGTGGGGGAACCTGGCGCAAGGAAGAGCGGCGGCAGGGGGAGGGGCGCAATGCGGTAGGGGAAGAGACGGTAGTAAGGCACCAACTCGTCAAAGGTGACGTCCTGGGAGGACAAAACAGGGCATGAGGTGGGGTGGTAAAACTGCCAACCAGGCGCGTCAGGGGGGGAGCCAAGGAAGACGCAGGGAACAGCACGGGGGGACAGCTTGTCCAAAGACAAGTCGCGGACAAACGCCAAAGATCCCCAAACACGAAACGCAGACGCATCGCCAACCTTCCCCGTCCACCGCAGAGTAGGGGAGGTCTCCGGAAAGGAGACCCAGGGCTGAAGGTTGATCTGATGCGCCGCGTACTGAACCGCGAACGGCCACAGAAAATGGGGAGCAGCCGCATGAATCATGGACGTACGAGCGACGTCCATGACCATGCCAATGCGGCGCTCAGCAATCCCATTTTGCTGTGTAGAGGCCGGAAGCGTGAACGTCTGGCAGATGCCCTGTGCACGACAGAAGGCTCCCAGAAGGTCAGAGGAAAACTCTCCGCCTCTGTCAGCGTGTAGACGCATAACAGGAAAGTCCGAGCCGAAACTCTCTCTGAGCAAGAGACGAGCTGCGCGGATCCAGTCGATCAACACCTTAGTGACGTCACCCTTGCTGCGCAAGGGAAACACCGTGGTGTAACTCCAGTGGTCGTCAACCACCAACAGGAAGTAACGCTCGTGACCCTGGCCACGGACGCGGGCGGGGCCCCACACGTCCATGTGGAGAGTCTGCAGCGGAGCCTCTGTCGGAGGAAACTCGGAGGAGTGAGGGGCGGCGTGCTGCCGAGGGAACGCAGGTAGGGGCAGGCCCCAGAGGGAGGGGAGGGAGGGACCGTGGGAGACCAGAGACAAGGTAACGGGAGGCCATGCCTCGGAGACGAGGTAGGGAGGGGTGACCAAGGCGGTGGTGCCAGAGGAGAGTCTGGTGGGACAGGAGACGACACGAGCAGGGAGCAGACTCGGGACCAGACCTGGACGCTGCAGTAAACACCTGACCCGACGCAGCAACCTGACCAGGCTCAGCAATCGGAGGAGACCCAGTAGGCAGTGTGTACAGGCTCGACCCCGGCTGACGGGTAAACGTGGCCAAGTGTCGGCCCGTCCGAGCACACGTACAGTGGGTCACCCTCTAACTCGCAGGGGTGAACTTGTCAACCCCCCCATCCTGCAGATCAGCACCACTCACCAAGTTCGTAGAGAACGAGGGGAGGTAGAGACCTGACAGGGTGCCAGAGGGGGCCGTCGGACACGGTAAGATAGTGGAGAAGTGGGCAAGGACAGGACCCCCAGAGGGGTCCGCCAGGGAGACCGCAACAAGCCGACTAAGCGGCGTAAGCGTGGTGCGGTCTCGAAAGAAGGAGCGGGACGCACCCTAGTCCAGGGTGAAGGTGTGGAAGGCCTTAGCCGTCGTAGTACTTGAGAGAGCAGACTCACCAGCACCTGGGGCAGCAGACGCACTAGCACCGAGAGCAGCAGCCTCAATGCTCGGGTCAGGCGGAACATACAGGTAAGCAGCGCTGGGTGGTGTGCGGGCCAACGCACGGCTCACCAGTGTGGTCGCCGGTACGCAGGACGTAGGCACAAGGACCAGCACCCCCACCCCGCTGACGCGCAGCGTACCACTCACGAAGCTGCTGGGGGGGCGGGGTCTCACGAGTGCGCTGCTGCTGCTGGCGCTGACCACCACCGAAGCCGCCCAGCTGCCCAGAGCCACCCCGACCAGCTCCACCTCTGCCGCCGCCACCTCCGCCACCGCCGCCACCGCCTCCTCCTCTGCTCCCATCGCCACCGCCGCCGCCGCCTCTGCCGCCACCGCCGCCACCGAAGCCCCCACCCCCGCCACCACTCCCACCGCCACCCCCACTCTCTCCGCCGCCTCCACCGCCACCTCCACCGCCCCCGCCAGCCCCTCCAGCGCCCTTGCCCCCCTTGCCCTTGCCGGTGCGACGTCTCCCGCTAGGGGCAGACGCAGCACTGACCGACTCGGTGCCAACGAAGTCGACGGCAGCAGCAGAGGCAACAGAGGGCAAAAGGGGGGAGGGGGAGCACCCCTCAAAGAAGGGGGCACGAGGGTCACCACGAGAGGCTCCTACAGCGACTATACTCTTCTCAGCTGCCAGGAGGCGCTCCTCGAGGAGGTCAACGGTGAGTGTGGTGGGGCAAGCAGAGAGGAAGTGGTCCCTGCCCGAGCGAAGGGAGTCAGGGAGTCGGGTGACTATGTAGTAGAGGGTGATGTACATCGGGGGGGGGGGGGGGGGGGGTTCTTGGCGCAGAACTCAGCAGGAAGCGCAGCGCGGTAGCGGGTGTCACTAGTGCGGAGGTGCGTAATGAGGTCAGCGACTGTGGGAAAGGCGGCGAGGTCAGGAAACAAGTATGGCAGCATGAGGCGGCTAAGGGCAGCAGTGGCAGGGGAAGAGTAGCGTGCAACTACAGCATCGTACAAGGTCTAAGCACTCTTGTACTGACTAAAGTGCGCGCGCTCAGTGGACGGCAAGTGACTACGCATAGCAAGACGGGCAGCAGCATCGCGTGTGGCCCACTGTGAGCGAACAGTGCTGTCAGCATCGGCAGCAGAGGCGCCAGACGTGAGATCGAACAGTGAGAGACTTTCCTTCCTATCGTACTGTAGGAAAAGTTGTAGATCATTGACCCAGACCTCAAAGTCAACAGCCCGACCCTCAGCATCAAAGACTAGAACGCTAGGGGTAGCCATGACAGCAGTGGCAGCAGGCTAGGGGCAGCAGTAGCAAGCATGGCTCGGCAGTGCTCTTACCAGGGCTGGTAGATAGGGGCCGGCAAGTGGTGGGGCAGGGCCGAGGCGCGTCGGCAGGGACAGAGCCGCGATCGCGGCGGCAGCTCCTGCTGTCAGTGGCGGCGGCAATCGCGGTTGTCGGCGGCGACGGCTGCTGGTGGTGGCGGCCGCCGCTGCTGTCTGCGATGCTTGCTGCAGTCGGCTGCTGCTGGCGGCGGCGGCTGCTGCTGCTGGCGGCTACTGCTGCTGGTGGCGAAGGAGCCGAGAAGGGGCCGGGAAGGGTGGCGACGGGGCCACGAAGGGCGGCGACGGGGCCGAGAAGGGGCCGCAAGGGGCCTCGAAGGGCGGCGACGGGGCCGCTAGGGGCGGCGACGGGGCCGCGAAGGGGCCGCGAGGGGCCGAGAAGGGCGGCGACGGGGCCGCTAGGGGCGGCGACGGGGCCGCTAGGGGCGGCGACGGGGCCGCGAGGAGCGGCGACGGAGCCGCTAGGGGCGGCGACGGGGCCGCTAAGGGCGGCGACGTGGCCGTAACGGGCGGCGACGGGGCCGCGAGGGGCGGAAACGTGGCCGCGAGGGGCGGCAACGAGGCCGCTAGGGGCGGCGACGGGGCTGCAAAGGGTGGCGACGGGGCCGCTAGGGGTGGCGACGGGGCCGCGAGGGGCGGCGACGGGCCGCGAAGGGTGGCGACGGGGCCGCTGCGCAAGGGGCGGTGAGAGGGGCCTCTAGGAGGGCGCGACGGGCCGCTAAGGGCAGGGGACGCAACGAGAGGGCAGCCCACGGGGCGCGCCTCGGGCAGGGGCGACTCTCGCTCCGGGCAGAAAAAAAAAGTTTTGGATTTTCAGTGGTGGGCCCTAGGAAGCGTTCCCACTAGGGAACCTGCTCTATACCATGTGAAGAAATGAGGAATGATTGACTAAGGGAAAGGTTGGGTACAAGTACAAACCCTAGAAATGTGTTGTACCCCATATGTGCTACCCCACTATAGCCTACATAGGCTAAGTCATATAAGTCTGACACAACTGTTCGCCGTATGTTTGCGCGAGTTGGCAACCGACACCGACGGAAAAGACATTGAGAAGTTGTGCGCAGCTTTACCACCTGATGTAGCGGAGCTGATTCGACAGTACCAGGAACGCCCCGAGGACCACAAAATCCAGCTGGAGCCCGGCGAGCAGCCGACTGTTCGTACACAGTGGCGGTTGACCCAACCGGAACTCGAGGAGCTGCGACGACAAATTGAGGGACTTTTGGAGAAGGGGTTTATTCGACCCAGTACATCTCCCTTCGCAGCCCCGATCTTGTTCACGCCAAAGTAGGATGGCGGGCTTCGCATGTGTATCAACTATCGCGCGCTCAACCGGGTGACCATCAAATCTCGCTATCCAATCCCACGCACCGATGACCTCTTCGATCAACTTCGCGGCGCTCGCTACTTTTCGAAAATCGACCTGCGTGGCGGTTACCACCAGATTCGGGTCTTCGCCGAGGACTGTCACAAGACCGCGTTTCGCACCCGCTACGGAAGCTGTGAGTTCACAGTGATGCCGTTCGGCCTCACAAACGCGCCTTCGACATTTCAACTGACCATGAACAGGGGTTTCTGATAATTTCTCAACAAGTATGTGATCGTCTATTTGGACGATATTCTGATTTTTAGCAGGACAAGGGCACAACACCTCCGCGACTTCGACGCAGTGTTTAAGCGGTTGCAGGAGAACCGCCTCATCACCAAGAGCTCTAAGTGCGAGTTCTTTAAGCTGGGTTTTGGAGTTTTTGGGGCACGTCATCTCCCGCGACGGCATCAAGATCGACCCGACGAAAATCAAGACTATTTAGGAGTGGAAGTCCCCGACCAACAATACGGAACTTCAGAGTTTTCTAGGCTTCGTGAATTACGTCAGGCGGTTTATCCCAAACATGGCGGGGATAACCGGCCCGCAGACCGACCTGCTGCACAAGGACAGGAGTTTTGTTTGGGGGGAGGAAGCAGAGGCGGCTTTTGGAGTTGAAGAATTTTCCCGTTTCCCCTCCAGTTTTGGGCTTCGCCGACCCATCGAAGCCGTTCGAAGTCATCACCAACGCCTTAGATTTCGCCATCGGAGATATATACTCCTCCAGGATTTCGGGAACGGGCTGCAGCCGATCGCCTACGAGTCACGCAAGCTGCAGGAAGCTGAACGCAACTACCCAATACATGACAAGGAGATGCTCGCCATAATACACGCATTCAAACTGTGGCACTGCTACTTGGTGGGTGTCGGCGTCACTGTTCGCACGGACCACAAGTCCCTACAGTACCTGCGAGCTCAGCCAAACCTCAACCCGCGACAAATTCGGTGGCTGGACTACATGGAGAGCCACTTCACCTGCCGCATCACGTATAAGAAAGGGGCGAATAACATCGCCGATGCCCTGACCAGACCGACAGTTCAAACCGTCGCGGTGCTCATTGTGAGAATAAGCGAACAGGAATGAATGAACTAGCAGTGAAATGAGTACAAGTAGGAAACCCTAGAATTGTGTACCCCCTATAGGCTAACCCACTGTAGCCTACACAAGCATAACATATATAATGTTTGACACACCCCCATAGGCAAAGTGGGGGAGAACAAGGGGTCACAAGACCAGTCAAGCAAAGCAAAGCAAGCTCAGGGTGGATCACAAAGTCACCACACAGTCCGAGCACAAGAGCAAGGCCAGAGGCCAGTTCACATGCAGGAGTACAGACATATATATAAAACTAGACAAGCAAGAGCAGGTATATATATATGTCACAGTACAAGTGAAGTCAAGAGGAGAGCAAGTGAGGCAAGACAGGCACAAGACCCAGCTGGGTGCAAAAGCGCTGATGGTCACAAGGCGCGAGTGCCTTGGTGAACACATCAGCAGTGTTGGCCTCAGAGGCCACGTACGCAAGTCGCAACTGACCACGCTGCTGCAGCTCACGAGCAAGGAAGTAGCGGAGAGCAATGTGCTTCGTTCTGTGCTCCAAGCGCTGCTCTCGACACAAGGCCAGCATGGCCTTGTTGTCTACGTACAGCACTGGAGGAGAACGAGGCGGCTCTCCAAGGTCAGTCAGCAGGTAGGTGAGCCAGCGAAGCTCCTGTGCAGCCATGGCCCCGGCGTAGATCTCAGCCTCACAACTGGAGCCGAGAACCGAAGACGAGCGAGTAGACCGCCACGAGACAGAGCCGGAACCAAGGCTGAAGGTGTAACCCTGTGACGACCGCTGCGTAGCCTGGTCGTCAGCCCAAGAAGCGTCCGCGTGGCCGGTAAGGACCACTGGACTCCGCCCTCCAAGCACAAGCCCCATGCCCGACGTACTGCACAGGTAGCGCAATACCCTCTTCGCTGCAGCCATGTGCTCTGGTCTGTGTCTCCCAGGAGCAACATAGCGTGCAAGAATGCTCAGAGGATATGCAAGGTCAGGTCGTGTGCAGGTCATCAGGTACATGAGGCAGCCAACAAGCTCTGCATACGGACCATTCGACTCTACGGACTCATCCGAAGGCAGAGCTGAGAGTGAGTGGCGAGTAGGCAGAGGAGTGGCCTGAGGCGAGGAGTACGTGAAGCCGAAGCGCTGAAGGACCTGCTGCACCATGTGTGACTGAGTCAAGGTAATGGTGCGGCGTGCTCTGTCCCGAGTGATCTGCAAGCCAAGGTAGCTGCGCAGTTCACCCAGGTCTGTGCACGTGTGTCTCTTCAGCAGTTCCGACTTCACGTAGGCGAGTCCAGCAGTGTCCGCTGTGGCAAAGACCAAGTCGTCGACGTACACGAGGATGTAGAACGGCGGCAGTGAAGTGTCGGTGCGCAGAAACAGCGACGGGTCAGCAGTAGAAGGAGCAAACCCAAGAGCCGCAAGCGTAGTCCTCAGTGTGTCGTGCCACTCACGCGGTGCCTGGCGGAGACCGTAGACTGGCCGTCGGAGGCTCCACTGGGTGCCAGGAGGGAAAGTCCCAGTGAAGCAAGGTGGACGGCGCAGCCAGATCTCCTCGTGCAGGCTACCCTGCAGGAACGCAGTGCTGAAGTCGAGAGAGTGAAGCTCGTAGTCGCGCTGAGCGGCTATGTGCAGCAGCACCCGAAGAGTGGTCATCTTCGGGGTGGGAGAGAAGGTCTGAAAGTAGTCAACTCCCTGCCGCTGACTGAAGCCACGAGCAACGTACCGCGCCTTGAAGACAGGTGGAGAGCCCGGCGGCCGCTTCACCCGGAAGATCCACATGCCACTGACGATGTTCGCCCCAGGAGGGGGAACTGCGTCAACGTAGGTGCCTGTGGACTTCCAGGAAGCCATCTCTGCATCCATTGCTGCCTGCCACTGAGAGGAGTAGGGACCCTCTACGGCCTCCGCGTAAGAACGCGGAGTCGGGATGTCTAGTGCATCCGGGTCTCCCTCAGGGGCAAGCAGTACAGACGCGAGATGAGGTGAAGCAGCCGCTAGACACTGTAACTCCTCCTGTCTGTCCTCTAGGACGTCCGTGCCAAGAGCACACTCACCCCCGACGGACGGAGGACAGACAGACGCAGACTCAGCAACAAGACCAGCAGCGTAGTCGAGACGACAGCGAGCAGCAAAGTCAACGAGCTCAGCGACTAGAGCAGACGCAGCAGTGGACTCAAAAGAGGGGTCAGTGAGGACAGTAGCAAGCAGACGCGTGACAGTAGGACTGGCAGCGCGAAGAGAGTCCGACTCAGGGTCGGCAAGCGCAGGAAGAGAGGACTCAGGAGGCGAAGGCAAAGGGGCACGCAGAGGAGCAGTGGACGGACGCAGAGACATCCGGTGCGTGCCAGGGACAGGAGGAGGACGCTGACGCGAACCGCGACCACTAGCGCGAGCAGCACGAACAGGCGACGCGGGACGAGACGCAGGCTCACGACGCTCAGCAAGACCTCCAGTAGGACCAGTGTAAGGAGAGGGAGCAGGCAGAGGAGAGGAAGGCTCCAACAGTGACTGCGACTGGACAG